GTGCCCACAGGAGGGGCAGTCAGTGCTGGATTGCTGGGTGTTGGATGGATGGATGGATGGATCCGTGGCAGTGCCCACAGGAGGGGCAGTCAGTGCTGGATTGCTGGGTGTTGGATGGATGGATGGATGGATGGATGGATGGATGGATGGATGGATGGATGGATCCATGGCAGTGCCCACAGGAGGGACAGTCAGTGCTGGGTGTTGGATGGATGGATGGATGGATGGATGGATGGATGGATCCATGGCAGTGCCCACAGGAGGGGCAGTCAGTGCTGGATTGCTGGGTGTTGGATGGATGGATGGATGGATGGATGGATGGATGGATGGATCCATGGCAGTGCCCACAGGAGGGGCAGTCAGTGCTGGGTGTTGGATGGATGGATGGATGGATGGATGGATCCGTGGCAGTGCCCACAGGAGGGGCAGTCAGTGCTGGGTGTTGGATGGATGGATGGATGGATGGATGGATCCGTGGCAGTGCCCACAGGAGGGGCAGTCAGTGCTGAATTGCTGGGTGTTGGATGGTTGGATGGATGGATGGATCCATGGCAGTGCCTGCAGGAGGGGCAGTCAGTGCTGGATTGCTGAGTGTTGGATGGATGGATGGATGGATGGATGTATGGATGGATGGATGGATCCATGGCAGTGCCCACAGGAGGGGCAGTCAGTGCTGCTGGTCCCCTGCCCACGTGCTGTGTGAACACCCCAAGCTGCTCCCTGGGCAGGGACCCACCCAGGGACCTTTATAAATGCACAGTTTCACTAAACCCCTCCTTCTTTCCCTTTCCCACCTCCCCTGCCCTTCCCCAAACACAGCCTTGGCAGGAAAGCTCCTCAGGTCCCACATCTGCTCCTGGGAGAGGCAGGTCAGGCCCTGGATGTTTTGATCCCAGTGGGATATTGGTGGGGGGCTTTGAGGGGCAGAGGGAACATGTTGTGTCCGTTCCTGCTTTACCAAGCTGGGTAGTAGAAGTTGTAGATGGAAAATGCTGGGTTAAAATTCCCATTGGAAGTTTGATTTCAGGCAGCAAGATGGAGCAAATTATTGTTTGTATTGAAGTACAAGAGAAATTACTACAGAACAGGGATTTGTTTATTTTTCCTTATTTCCCCCCCCTTCACTCTTCACTAGCCCGGTTGTGTGGTTTTAGGACACCTTTGCCAAGAATTCCAGAATGTTTTGTGGAAGACTGAGGAGTGGAATATAATTAAAACCCCGGGATTCTGTGTATTGTATATGGAGGAGTTTTCTGTCTGGTAGTTCTTCCTCAAAGCTCACTGTGGGCTCTGAGCTGCTCCTGGCTGTGGTTCCCTGCTCCCATTGTGCAGGGAGGCTCCTGGGAAGGCTTTAATAGGCTTTCAGGCAGAAATGTAAAGAATTTGGAACATGTAACTATTGTTGAGTGAGATTAAAAGCTTTTGTCTTGGGAAAAGTAGCAAGTTGGAGTTGATTTTTTTTTTTTCCCTACAAGAAGAAATTCTACATTTGTTCCTTGTGCTGGTCAGTCTTGGGTTGTGTGAGAATGTGCAGGAGGGGAGAGCCAGGGGGGGTCGGGCTCTGCTCCCAGGGAACAAGGGACAGGAGGAGAGGGAACGGCCTCAGGCTGTGCCAGGGGAGGCTCAGGTTGGACATCAGGAGGAATTTCCTCCTGGAAAGGGTGGTCAGGCCCTGGCAGGGGCTGCCCAAGGAGGTTTGGAGTGCCCAGCCCTGGAGGTGTCCCAGGAAGGCCTGGCCGTGGCACTCAGTGCTCTGGGCTGGGGGACAAGGTGGGGATGGGGCCCAGGGGGGATCCATGGGCTGGGAGGGCTTTTCCAGCCCCAGTGATCCTGGGATTCTGTGGGTGTGTCCATGTCCTGCACCTGAAGCGAACCAGAAATGCCACCTGTGGTGCTGCAGGGTGGGAACATCCCAATGTCCCTGTGCCTCCAGGCAGACTTTGTCTTGGATTTGTGGTCCTGCCAAAGGGAATGGATTCTCCTGCAGCACTTGTCCTGCAGTCAGAGGGTTTGTTTTGAGTTAGATAACATCTGTTTGCAGAAGTGACTTGGAGCAGGAGCAGTTCCTGCCCTTCACCCTTACAGCTCTGCCGTAGGGTAAAGCCAAGAGAGGTGGCAGAGTTCAGTAGGCAATCCCCAAAAATGTAACAGGGAATCATTAGCCTTGGAATGCTTCATGTTTTCTTACTGGTGCTGCTGTTTCACAGCAGGTGAAGTGAGCAGATACCCAGTTTTCCTCCTTGCAATTAGTGGAAGTTGTTCCCAGTGTCACGATGCTCCCCAGAGTGGCTGTTGGCAGCTCAGGCTGGGCAAGGAGCCACTACTGATTTATTTTTTTGCCACGGGAGCAGCAAATCTGTGTTGTTCCCAAGTTCATCATGGAACAGGGATGGTCCAGTCCTGAGAGGGAGGTTGGATCTGCTCCATCATTTCATAGAATCACAGAGTTCCAGAATGGTTTGGGTTTTGGGAGGGACCTCAAATGTCATCTAATTCCACCCCCTGCCACAGGCAGGGACACCTTCCACTCTCCCAGGTTGCTCCAAGCCCTGTCCAACCTGGCCTTGGACACTCCCAGGGATCCAGGGGCAGCCACAGCTTCTCTGGGCAACCTGTGCCAGGGCCTCCCCACCCTTATAGCCAGGAATTCCTTCCTGAATTCCGAGGATCTTTCTAAAGCAAGCCAATAATTTATTTTTTTTCCCCTCTTTGCTCTCTGCTTCTCTCCCAGCCCCCCCCGCCCCCCCAGCCAGGAGTGCTCCATGTGGGAGGTGCCCCCGTGCCCGCCGTGCCCCGGGATGGCAGCGAGGTGACAGTGAGGATGACCCTGACGGAGCGGCTGCGCCTCAGGATCTCGGGGGCCTTCTACAGCCACGGGCTGCTCTGTGCCTCCTACCCCATCCCCATCATCCTCTTCACTGGCCTCTGCATCCTGGCCTGCTGGTGAGTCACACACGGGGGCTTGGGGGTTCTGGGCAATGCCCTCCCTTCCAGGCCGCCCCAGGAGCTGGTTTTTGTTTAAACTCACGGTTCTGTGTCGTCTCCTTGTGTGGGACAAAGGAAACGACGAGGATGAAGCGCCTTCATCCGGTTTGAGAAGTGGAAACTAATTGAGTAAGTGTGGTGGTTTGAAACTCCCAAGAATCTAATTTTTAAGTTCAAGCCCCCCCCTCCCACAGTTTGCCCCTGTGAGAGGGTTTAGTGATGGTATGGACTTGATATCTTTTCCCCCCCCATGTGAAGAGTTTTCAGACAAAACACAACCATTCGTTATTGGGGGGAAGGGGAAAATATTTACAGAGGTTTATTTACACCCACACATATATTTACATTAAATTAAATTTCTCTTCTTCTTCAAATAAAAGTCCATCACTAAACCCTCTGACAGGGGCAAACTGGGGGGGGGGGCTTGAACTTAAAAATTAGATTCTTGGGAGTTTCAAACCACCACAGTAAGTGAGCTAAAGCAGTAAATGAGATACAAGCAGGCACCTGGTGGTGGCCCCCAAAGCCATGAATTAAAAATGGGGAGGAAGAAAGCTGATCTTTCTCTCCACACCTGCCTGCCCTGCTCTCCCTGGGCTTTGCACTCCTGTTTCACCCTCGGCACACCCGTGCTGTACATCCCCTGCTCTCCTCGGGGACCCTCACTTGGATACAGGCTGCAGCAGGATAGAATCTCTGTCCCAGGGGCTCGGAATCCTTTCAGTGGGGCTGAGCAAACCTTTGTGCTGGGGTCTGTGCACACCTGTGTGTATATCCAGAGTGTCTTTGAGTTTTCAATTCCAAGTCTGTTTTGGTCAAAACACTCCCACTGTGATGATTTTCCTCCTCTGCTTTTGGAAGAGCTGCCCCTGTGCTGCCACAGCTGCAGGTTTTCCTTTGAGCTGGGATGGTGCCGGGGCTGCTCTCACATCACTTAAAGGATTATCAGAGGGACTGCTTCCAGGTATTGAAACCCTCCGAGGTGGCTTCTCCTGCCTGGGCCCTTTGTGGTTGTGAGCAGCAGTCAGGGTGTTGCTTCCTGATTTTCACTGCTCCGCAGGAATCCTTGGAACTGTCAGGGACAGTTTTATTCTCAGATCTCTTGCTCTGTGGAACATGAAGCTTTACAAGGCCCAAGCAACTGGATCCTACCTTTTCTTTATCTTGGATAAGGTTCCAAGTACCAGCTCTGGTGGCATTTTTTCACCTGAAAGCTGCAGCCAGCAAGGGCAAACCAGAGTTCCACCTGTGTCCTGACTCACCTGAGTCACAGTTCCACCTCATTCCTGCTTGGGAATGACTTCCCAGAGCTGCTCCTGGCCTCAGGCTCTGCTTTTCAGCTCTCCCAGGTGCTCCTGCCTGGGGTGGATTCAGGAATGCAGGACAACTGCTGCAGTAGGGAATGTTCACCCACACATGTTGTGTTTTGGGAGGGGTCAAAACAAAACCTCCATGCTTATTCCTCTTCCTTAATTCAGGATTTCCCAGACAGGGGAAATCTGAGGGGGGTCACCAGCAGCTGTCCTTGTTCTTGGGAACCTCGAGCCCACTGGGTCAGGCCTTGTACCTGCCCTGGCATTGTTCAGAGCAGGGAATTGAGGTGTTCCCACCACACCCCTGAGGCTCCAGGCCAGGTGGTCTGTGGTAACTGTGGGTTTTGGCAGTGTCTGCATTCCCAAGTGCCAATATTTGAGGGCTCTGCAGTGCCTGGTTACCTCCAGGCTGCAGAGACTCGTCCAAGACACCATCAGGCGTGAAGGGAAGAGTCTGTTTTCTTTGACAAGCTCCAGGAGCTCGTTAGCAAAGCAGATAATGACCCTGGGAGAGACAGGGGTTAAACACACAGGGACACCTCTGGAGAGCAGGAGAACCTCGGCAAAAAACGGGAGTGTGGCTGAAGTGCTCCCTCTTTAGAAGCCATTTCTGGGGGGTGGTTCAGTTCCTGCTCTGCTCTGCATTAACTGCTGGTGACTGGGTGTTAATTCTGGCTGGAGAAGTGCCTTTGCTAATTAGGTCAGACCTGTTCTGGAGCGGGGCCCTTCTGCCCCTGAGCATGTCAGTGTGGTGAGAGTCAGCTCTGGCAGGAGCCAGCTCTGGCAGGAGCCAGCTCTGACAGGCTGTCTCTGCACAGCTCACTGAAATGGGTGTGGGAAGCTGAGTTTGGGGTTGAGGTCTTCAAGTCTTCCTCTTAGGGTGGATGGTGCCACAAACTTCATCTGTCTCCTGTAGCTGCACCTATTTCCTGTATCAGGAAGAGATTCCTGGCTGGGAGGGTGGACAGACCCTGGCACAGGCTGCCCAGAGAAGCTGTGACTGCCCCTGGATTCCTGGAAGTGTCCCAGGGTGCTGTTGCTTTATCAAGGTGTTTGGAGCCTGCCCTTTCCCCCCACCCCTCCTTCCTTCCACTTGCTGTGGTTTTTCCAAGCTGAGAAGGGAAGTGGTGCTGAAGGGAGCACAGATCCATGATTCTGAGGGATTTGGGAAGAACTCTTCTCTTGGCCAGGTAGCTTTGCAGCTGCAGTCCACATATTGTTGATCTCTTTAAAGCGAGAAATAAAACTGATTGTGTCCCGTTGCAACGAGGCTGTGTCCCAAGGGAGTTGGATTGTTAGATTTCTCCTTGGTTTCCTCTGTGATTGGGGCATTTTCTGGCCAGGGCTCAATCCAGGGGCTGCTCTCTGCATCCAGCACTTGGAGAACACCCCTGGCAGTCCGAGGTGCCTCCTGGCTGTTTGCTGGGTGTGGGATGATCCTGTGTGGGGTTGGCTCCGTGCCTGGGTGGACACTGATCCCTGGGCAGGGGGGTTCCCAAGGGAGCTGTGGGATGGGCACCCCCAGGGCAGCTCTGTTGTCCTGGACAGGGACTCTCTGGTGGCCACACAGTGTCACATCTGCCCTTGCCTCGTGCTGAGGACCCAGCACTGGTCCTTGGCACGGATTTACTGCTGGGATTGGATGATTTGTGCTCCTGGGAAATGCTGCATTTTCCTGGGACGGATCTCACTGATTCACCTCGGCCACCCCTCTGCAAAAATGAGTGAGAAACGAGCTGGAATCGGGAGAAAGAAGCTGGTGGGGGAAGATCAAGGCCCAGCTTTGGGGCAGAAGCTCTTTTTGGCAGTGTTCCTGTGCAGCCTGGCTGGTCAGAGCCCCCAGCACAGAGCAGGGAACACAAAATCATGGAATCACTGAATCCTGAAGGTTGGAAAAGCCCTCTCAGACCGTTGAGTCCAACCATGCCCCAGCACTGCCAAGGCCACCACTGCCCATGTCCCCAAGTGCCACATCCACAGGGCTTTGAAATCCCTCCGGGGATGAGGACACCACCCCTGCCCTGGGCAGCTGTGCCAGGGCTGGACAGCCCTTCCCAGGAGGAATTTTCCCCCCTCCCCTGGCACAGCCTGAGGCTGTTCCCTCTCCTCCTGTCCCTGTTCCCTGGGAGCAGAGCCCGACACCCCCCCCCCGGCTCCCCCCTCCTGTCAGGGAGCTGGAGGGAGCAACAAGGCCTAAGCCTGACCTTGGGCAGGTCTTTCTAAAGAGGAAAGAAGATACCCAGTGATCCAGGGGGTTCATCCTGACTTCTGTGAACAGGGAAGGAGCTGGAAACATCCTCAGAATTGCTGAGAAGGTCCGTCCCTGTCCCTGGAGATGTGGGTGGGAAGAGGAGAAGGGAAGAGAGCAGAAGGGATCTGTTCTTTATTCCTCAGCCTGAAATGTGGTTAGTAAAGACATTCCAGCAAACAGGAGTGGATCTTGCATCCCGAATTCCTCAAAGGGATAGAGGTGAACCAGTCCTCTTGATCCTTCTGGGATCAAGGAGAGCTTGTGGAATTCTGCTGCAGAGGAAATGGTCTCAGTTGTTGTCTTCCTCCCCCTCACCACAGTCAAACCCGACCACCCTCGTGTGCAGAGAAGGTTTTTAGAAGCTGAAATAAATCCCGTGGTCCAGAATAAATCCCGTGTGTCCAGGTTCAGTTCTGGGCTCAGGGTGACAGCAGTGACATGCAGGGGTTCCTCCTGCCTGGGGAGGGCAGAGTGAGGATCACCTGGCACAGTCACCACAGAGGCTGTTCTGGTGTGGAACGTGTTTGTCTTCAGCCTTGGAGGGGACACTGTTTTTAATGTCACTGATAGACAAGACATGATGGCTCTGGGTTTGATAATAAAGTAATATCCAAAGCACAAATTCCTGTGACTAGTTCTTACTCTGTAGTCTGAAAATCCAAGTCAGTCTCCACTTCAGAGGAAAGGTTTTCTCGTTTTGCTCTAAATCCTTTGGAGGTGACACTTATTTTCCTCATCCCCTTTGAATGGATCTGCTTTGGGATCTGCCTTTTTTCCCTAAAATGGGAACTGTGTGACAGCAGTGGTTCCTCCTGCCAGCCCAGGGAACAGGTGATGCCTCTAAACGTGGCCATCAGGGTGAGTTTGAAGTGCCCTCTTCTCTGAAGAACAGCTCCTGGGTGCAGTGGAGTTGAACATGAGCCAGGAGCCTGTGCAGCAGGTTCAGGGGAGTTAAACAGCTCAGGCTCTGCAGGTGTTTGTTGTTTGACTGAAAAGGGAAGTTCTGCTCCTAAAGAACTGCAGAACTGGCTGGACCCAGAACCCCTGGGGGAGGTGGTGTATATTTATATATTTATTTATTGCTGGAAGAACATTTCACTCCCACAGTTTTGCACCGTTTGGGTAACCAGAGGAGCTGAGTTGCCCTCAGACTCCTCATGTTCTGGATCCCCACAGAACAGTCTCCCCTGGGATTTCCTGATGCTGCTGGAGCAGGAGGTGTGTGATGAGGCCTCTCTCCTGCTGCACAGGAAAGGGGAGTTCTCCTTTCCCAGGGCAGAGTTCTGGGGCCCTGTCAGTGGGACACAGGGCAAAGCCACCATCACTTGTTCAGAAACAGGGCCTGTTGATGCACCTGCCAAGGCTAAAAAGGAGCTATTGCTGCCAGATATTGACGTTCCCAAGGCTCTGGCAGAGGGAATGTTACCAGATTCCCCCTCTCCTCAGCAGTGGGATTCCAGGCTGGGCTGTCCCTGCGAGAGCTGAGGCTGCAGACAGGCCCACAGCTTGTCCTGCAGTGAGCCAGCAGAGCTGGGAGCTGGTTTAATTCCATGTATTCCCTGGGACCTGGCAGCCCCCTGCTCCCCTCCATCCTCCCTGGCTGCTCTGGGTGCTGGAGCTCTGGGAAGGAGGAACTTGCCAGTGTGGGGTTTCCTGGGGCTCACCTGGCCCTGCTCCATCCTGGCCCCCTGAGCCCTCCTGGGAATATGTAAAGGAGCTGGAGGAGTGTTTTTGCTCGGACCTGCCTTGTGCTTGGTGACTAAAATGCACTCTCACTTCAGTTCACCAATTCCAGCTTGTTGCATGAGCCATTTTTCTTTTATGATGGATTTTCCAAAGGGGTGCACGGTGACATGAGCGTCTGAAAAGAGCTTTTCTCAAACCCAGAACTTCTTCCTGAGCTTTCCTGTCATCTCTCTTAGATCCCAGAGTCCCAGAATGGTTGGAGTTGGAAGGGACTTTAGGAGATCAGCTGGTCCAACTCCCAAATCCCAAGAACAGGAATCCCAATAACTGAGCTCTCCTGGGATCTGTGGCATGAGTAGTCCAGGTGTTGCAGTAAGGGCTGTAGTGGTTACACACAGCTGTGTACAGACAACAGGGGCTGGTTTAACCTTCAGTTCAAATCTTTTAGACGTGGGTTTCCTGTGGGTCATTTCTCTGAAAATGGGGATTATAATAAAAAACAGGTTCAGCTTTTTCTTTGTCCACGTGCCCAACAACACACTGGGATGTCCTGTCCTGGCATCGAAATCATTTAGGGAAAAAATCATTCCCCCTCAGTCTGGTCAGTCCCTGTGCTTTGTTTTATCACTTGATTTGATTTTGGTATTTTGTTATTCCTTCTTCTCTTCCCTCCCGTTCCATAAGGAAATGATAATAAGTAGATGTTGTGTTTCTGTCAGACTAATAAAAAGCAAATCTGACAAGCTTTGCCTCTGATTTCATTGGGTGTTTTTGGCTGTTTGTTGTTCACTCTGAGGCCTCGTTGCTTGTTCCTCCCTGGCCTCTGATGATCCAAACTAAGCCCTGATGAAGTGGGCAGAGCGTTGCATGAAAACAATTCCAAGGCCTTTATATTTGTTCTGGAAATACTGCCAGAAAATTCATCTATAAACAGAAAAATGTATCAGGAGTTGTAAGGCCACGAAAAGACCCAGGTTGTTCTCTGGTTCCTTTCAGTGCTGACAGTCCCAGCCCATCGATGATCGCTGTATCTGCAGCTCTGCTTGTCCCACCACTTCACTCCTGATTTGCTTTTAACCACTTTTGAGAACCTCTGGAGTTACAAAGCCCCTTCTAAACTCTCTGAAACACCGGTTTCTCAACTTCTGAGTAGTTTCAAGCCTTTGTTGTGGGACAGCTGCTCAACCGAAGGCTGAGGGGGCAAAGGAGCAAGAAGATCAGTATTTTTAGCTGTTTTGGTGTCTCGTTGCTGCCTTTAAAAGTGCTTTGAGGACAAATGAAATTAGTGACAAGTTTTGGAAATGGTTTCAATCCAAGTGAGGAAAATGAGAGGATTATAAAGGGTTTGGGGCAGGGAGGCAGCCCCTGGAAAGCGCTGAATGTCTTGGGTTTGTGCAGGATTTGCAATAACTGAGCCATGGCCACGCTCAGTGTTTTTAGCATGACTAACTTTGAGGTGGTGGAGGAATTTGTCTTATTCCTCTTCCAGGACTTTTAGTCGTCCCTTTCCAATGGGGAAAGACTCCTGTGTTGGGACAGGACACCGATCAGTTCCCGTGAAACCTTAACCCTCTCGCCCCGTGCCCTGTCCTGCACAACTGGGCCTGCACTGACATGGGCCCGCTCATGTTTTGAGCTCTTCTGTCTCACAAAGTCCCTCCAGAGCCCCAACTCTGCTGTGTCCTGGTCTCTCCCCAGTTACCCGCTGCTGAAGCTGCCGCTGCCGGGGACGGGCCCGGTGGAGTTCAGCACCCCGGTGAAGGATTACGCTCCCCCCGCGCCCGGCCCGGCGCCGCACGGGGACCAGGCCGAGAGACCCGACTGGGTGAGTGCTGGGGCTGGGGGGAACGGCCCTGCTGGGGCTGGGACCTCACTGGGAGCAGTTCTGGGGCCCGGGGAGGCTGTGCTGCCCCGTCCCTGGAGTGTCCAAGGGAGCGGCCTGGCAGTGACTCTGTGAGGAACCCGCTGGTTGCTGCTCGTGTGTCCTCTGCCACTGTGAGGGACAGGGCGGGTTCACACGGGATCACAGAGCCATTGAGGTTGGAAAAGACCTCCGAGATCATCCAGTCCCGCCTGCCAGCACAGGCTGGGGGGATCTGCAGCACCGTGAGGTGTCTGTGAGAGGCAGTGAGTCCCTGCTCCTGCCTGCCCTTACAGGACCAAATCCAGCAGGAATGGCAGCCCCTGCCTCCCACAGAAGTGCCCCAGGCTGCTCCAGAACCATCAGTGGCATTTTGCCTCTTGGAGAAACCCCCTTTTTGTTCCTGCTCTGTTGGTCCTGTCATGTTCCACCTCTGCTTAGGGCAGGGCAAACAGAGCCTGGTGCAGCCCTTCCCAAGAGGTGCCAGGCTGTGCCTGGTCCTGCTGGGAGCTTCCCTGTGCCCAGGACCCTCACTGTGCCCCTGTGCCCCCGCAGTACGTGGGTGCTCCCGTGGCCTACATCCAGCAGATCTTTGTGAAAGCCACCGTGTCCCCGTGGCAGAAGAACTTCCTGGCCGTGGATGTGTTCCGGGCCCCGCTGTCCCGCGTCTTCCAGCTGGTGGAGGAGATCAGGAACCACGCCCTGAGGGACAGGTAAGGCACAGGGACCCACCTGGCTGTAAATCACTGCCTCTGGGTCCAAGGGTGAGCTTCGAGTTGGTGACACTCTCAAAATTAAAGGAAAATGAGGGATCAGTGCTGACAAGGGATGTGGGATCCATCCTCACACAGAACAGTTCCCATTTGTGCTGGAGAACTTCCCTGTCCTCCGGATAAGTCACTGATAATCCTGAGGAATCTTCTGGTCAGAGTCTGGACGGGGCCTCCAAGGTGATACCTGTTAGAGCCATTTCAGTGTCACAGAATTCCTTCATAACAACCAGGTGTGAATCACAGGGAGCTCCTGTACCCCTGCCATGCTCCTGGGAATTCCAGGTGGGCAGGAACCTTCTCCTGACTCTCCCTTCAGCTCTTATTAGGACCAGTTTGTACCTGCTTGGTTTTATCCTGTCACAGCAGGATGTTTATCCTACAACAGTGATTTTCCTCTGCTTCCAGACAATTCCAGGGAGAACTCCCACTCCCCACTCCGTACCTGTGGCTGTAAAGCCAAACATAAAACTCCTGGCTCACTGGTGAGATGCTCAGTATTCCATGTGCCATCCTGGGCCCTCCCCTTGGCACTGCTGCTGTGGCATTCCTGGAGGGGGGAGAGCAGAGCCGTGCACGGATTCAGTGTCTCACTTGTGTGGTATTTTCCGTGCAAAGGCCTTTCCTGATCTCAGGGAGATCACAGGGCCCTTTTTCCCATTAGGAGGGGATTTATCACCACCCCTGTGTCCCTCTGTCCCTTCCAGCCCACCAGGTCCCACCTCACAGCAGGAACTATTTAAAGAAAGGGGATTAAATTTGTCCCAGCCCTCACATCCTCCATTCCAGAGCCTGTGTTCCTTTCCCGAATCCACAGTGTTCCTGGATTTTGTGTCATTGGCAGACGTCCCTGGGTCTTATCACAACTTATTAATAAAAATACATAATAATCACAGAATCCTGGAATGGTTTGGGTTGGAAGGGATCTCAAAGCCCATCCAGTGCCACCCCCTGCCATGGGCAGGGACACCTCCCACTATCCCAGGCTGCTCCAATCCCTGTCCAACCTGGCCTTGGACACTTCCAGGGATGGGGCAGCCACAGCTCCTCTGGGTAACCTGTTGCATCCCTGGTTCTGTGACCTGCCTGTGAGAGATCCCACTTGTTTCCCTCAGCACTGGGGGCTCCCCTTCCAGCAGCTCCCTGACATTTTCCTGTTAACCTGGTTCTTCCTGCACCACAGTTTTATGTCTCTCCTGTGAGTTAAAGGATTTTCTGTGTGGTGCTGCATCCAAAGCTTTGGGGCCCAAGGAGATGGGACCTGCTCTGCTTCCCCCAGCCAAGGAGTCAGGAATTTAAAGGACAGACCCCTCGTGTTCTCTCCTGGCAAGCCAAGAATGCCTTTTATGCACAATAAATTACCCTGGTGGGGTTGTTTTAATAAGTTTTCCATCAAGATCCACTTTTTTGTCTGAGAGTTCCAGGTTTCGTGGGGTCCCTGGCCAAGCTCCTTCCTGGGTTTGCTGTCAGAGGCCAGAGAGGCTTCCCAGAGTGTCCTTTGGTGCTCGGGGAGGATGAGGGTGCTGAGAACAGCCCAGATGGGGGGAAATGGTGATATTGGAGCCTCTGATCATCCCCCGGCTGTCCAGCCAGGAGCTTCCTTCATTCTTTGTCCTCCAGCTGTCACAGTCAGGGAGGATTCACTGCCCCACCTCCTTTGCTTCATTTCTGAGGGTCCCCCTGGCTCCTCTGCCTCAGGATGTGCCCGGTGTGACCCATCCCTTGCCCCCAGCTGCTGCTCTGGGGGTCATTCTTTAGCAGTGCCATTTTTACTGTGAAACACAGATTCACTTTTTCCTCTCCCCTGCCAACTCCCACAGCCTTGGCCTGACCTTCTGTCCGTGTGCCCAGCCCATCTCCCCCGTTATCCTATGGATGATAATCTGTTCCCAGTTCCAAGGCAGAAACAACTTGCTGCCAGGACTGTGTCGTCCCCTCCTTATCTCCCTTTGTTCTCCTTGTATTTCCATTATCTCCCCTTGGCATTGCCCTTGATGAGCAGTGGTGCAACATGGAGGCAAAATTATTATTATTATTATTATTATTATTATTATTATTATTATTATTATTATTATTATTATTATTATTATTATTATTATTATTATTACCAGAAGAAGAAAACCACCTCAATATTTCGACCTAAACCCTGGGGTAAGGTCACCACTTTGGTGATGGGCTCTGACACTTGAGGAAACATCTGATTTTGAGATAAATTCTGAAAGTCCTTAGGAAGTTCTTGTAGGTTGCTTTTGTCCCTATCAAAGTTGAGCACAGTGGATTTCCTTGATTTATAAACAGGCCTCTTTTTATCTTCTATTTTATATTCTTTTATCTTCTGTTTTATATTCCTTTATCCTCTGTTTTATATTCTTTTATCCTCTGTTTTATATTCTTT